ATTCCCTCCGAGTCACACTATGAAGGTGAAAGGAGAGATAGCTGATCGTGAAGTTGTGGTGTTGATCGATAGTGGGGCAACCCACAATTTTATTTCCACCCAGATGTTGGAGCTGTTGGGGTTGGAGTTAGTAGATACAGGAGTCTATGGGGTGATGATGGGCACGAGAAAGGTAGAAATTGGAAGAGGAGTCTGTAGAGGGGTGGTGCTGAAGATCCAAGGTATCCCAGTGAAGGAAGACTTCCTTTCCCTAGAATTGGGGAGTACGGATGTCATCCTAGGGATAAAGTGGTTGCAGACGTTGGGGGAAACCAATATCAATTGGGGTACTCTAAGGATGGAGTTGGTGAAGGGAGGAAGGAAGAGGGTGATTCAAGGTGACGCGGGGTTGACTAAGGCAGGGGTTTCTCTCAAATCACTAATCAAGACAATTCAGGAAGGGGAAGGCTATTTGGTGGAAATACACAGATTGGAGGGAGTGAGTTTGGAGGAAGGGGGAGACATACCTTTTTCTGTGCAGCCTTTGATCTAGAAATTTTATAAGGTTTTTCAACCTCCTCTAGGGTTGCCACCACCCAGGGAGCTGGAGCATGCCATCACATTGAAGGAGGGAGTGTCACCTGTCAACGTGCGACCTTATCATTACCCTCAGTTTCAAAAGGACGAAATAGAAAAGTTGATCAGAGAAATGCTGGAAGCAGAGATCATCAGGCCCAGTACCAGCCCGTTCTCTAGTCCTGTTCTATTTGTGAAGAAAAAAGATGGCAGCTGGCAGTTCTGTGTAGACTACCGTGCACTCAATAAGGAAACTTAACTGTACCTGATAAGTTTCCTATACCAGTGATTAACGAGCTGTTAGATGAATTGAGTGGAACAGTGATCTTCAACAATATCGACTTGAAATCAGGGTATCATCAGATTCGAATGAAGAAAGAAGATGTGCCCAAGACTGCTTTTAGAACTCATGAGTTCTTAGTGTTGCCCTTTGGTCTCACCAATGCTCCCGCTACGTTCCAGGCTCTCATGAATAAGATCTTCAAACAATATCTCGGGCGATTTGTTTTGGTATTCTTCGATGACATCCTAGTGTATAGCAGAACAGAGGAGGAGCATTAGGGGCATTTAAGGAAGGTGTTAGAGGTTCTCCAGGAGCACCAGTTGCGGGCTAACTTGAAGAAGTGCTGCTTCGCATAAGTCAGTGTGGAGTACGTGGGGCACATAATATCCAAGGAAGGGGTAGCAGCAGATCAGTCCAAGATTGAAGCTATGTTAAAGTGGCCACTGCCTAAAAATCTGAAGGAGTTGAGGGGATTCCTAGGGCTTACAGGATACTACAGAAGATTTGTGAAGGGATACAGCGCTATAGCATGGCCACTCACGGAGCAGTTGAAGAAAGATGGGTTCCTATGGGGGGAGGCAGCCACGACAGCATTCGAGAAGTTGAAGAAAGCTATGACCACAGTTCCGGTCTTAGCTTTGCCGGATTTTACGTAGGTCTTCATAGTTGAGATAGATGCATCGGGGTATGGATTAGGAGCGGTGTTGATGCAGAATCACAGGCCCATTGCCTATTTCAGTCAGGTGTTGATTGCAAGAGCCCGGCTGAAGTCCATCTATGAGAAGGAATTAATGGCAATCGTTTTGGCCATCCAAAAGTGGCGCCCCTACCTACTCGGGAGACATTTCATCGTCAAGACCGACCAACAGAGCCTAAAATATTTGCTGGAGCAACGCATGGTGATAGAGGAGCATCATAGGTGGCTATCCAAACTGCTGGGCTATGACTTTGAGATTCAATACAGGCCAGGGGTAGAAAATAAGGCCGCAGATGCCTTGCCCATGATTTTCCTTTAAATTTAAATGTTTGAATTTATTTGACTAACATTTCACTATTATATAAGTAAAAGTATTATAATTTTTTTCAATTTTTGTTATATATTTATAAATAATTGTGTCATTATTATAACATTTAAATATAATAAATATTTATTACGTCATCCGGTTCGACCCCGATTCGACCTCGGTCGAACCATCAAACCTCTAACCCCTCCTTCTTCCGGTTCATTGACCGGTTCGGTTTTAAAAGCCTTGGTATTAGTCCCAATGATGCTGGACTGGGAAGCCATCAGGGAGGAGAGTGTCAGGGATGAAGAACTAGGCAAGATCAGGGCATACTTACTAAAGGAAGAGGGCAGCCATCCAGGGTATTCATTGGAGGGGGAGAGATTGATGTACCAAAGGAGGTTTGTGTTGCCCAAAACATCAATTCACATTCCACATTTGCTCCAGGAGTTCCATGGGAGTACAGTGGGAGGTCATTCAGGAGTGCTAAAGACCTACAGGAGACTGGCGACAGAGCTGTACTGTAAAGGTATGCATAAGGATGTGGAAGAGATGGTATCCAGGTGCGAGGTTTGCCAAAGGAATAAGTATCTAGCTATGTCACCAGGGGGGCTACTACAGCCATTGGCTTTATCAGGTTGAGTCTGGGAGGAGATCTCTATGGATTTAATAGATGGTTTTAAATGCCCCGTTCAGAGGGATTCACGGTGATTTTGGTGGTGTTGGATATGTTGAGCAAGTATGTATATTTCATTCCTCTCCAACACCCCTACACAACAGTGACAGTGGCATCAGCTTTCATTAGGGAGGTGGTCAGGTTACATGGAGTATCCGAGGCGATCGTATCAGACAGAGACAAGGTATTCTTAAGCCACTTTTGGAGAGAGTTGTTCAGATTGCAGGGGACAGTTCTGAAGAGGAGTACAGCTTACCACCCACAGACGGATGACCAAACGGAAGTAGTCAACAGGAGCTTGGAGACGTACCTAAGATGCTTTGTATCAGAGACACCCAAGCTATGGGCTAAGTGGCTATTATGGGCAGAGTATTGGTACAACACATCTTTTCATTCCGCTTCACAGATGACCCCATTCAAGGTGTTGTACGGACGAGATCCTCCACACTTGGTGCACTTTGGGAGTAGCAGCACTCCCATGTCTTCAGTAGAGGAATACTTGGAGGAGAGGGATCGAGTGCTAGAGGAGTTAAAGAGGCATTTATTGAGAGCTCATCAAATTATGAAGAAACAAGCGGATGGGCATAGGAAGGACATCTAGTTCGAAGTGGGGGAGGAGGTGTTTTTGAAACTCCGACCATATAGGCAGAAGAAAGTTGCCAATAGGAGGAATGAAAAGCTGGCTCCAAGGTACTATGGGCATTATGAAGTGCTGGAGAAGATTGGGGCAGTGGCATATCGACTGAAATTACCACCATTGGCGATGATACACCCGGTTTTTCATGTATCACAGTTGAGGAGGGCCATTGGTGACTACACTGCCAACCCCGAACTACCTGCGACATTCACTGAGGATTTAGAGGTGGTTCTGGAACCCTTAGAGTTGATGGGAGTCCGTCAGAAAGAAGATGGAACTAAGGAAGTATTGATCCAGTGGAAGAACCTACATGACTACGAGGCCACGTGGGAGCCATATGAGAGGACGAAATAACAGTTCCCAGATTTTCACATTGAGGACAAGGTGATTCTTTGGGAGAGCGGTATTGTTACGCCGGCTCACAGAGAACCGGCCCAGCCGGTCATCCACTATAGGAGGCGAAACAAAGCCGCCTCCTTTGGCTGCTCTGCCAATGCTGATGGGGCCCGCCCCATCTAATGATTTTTGAAAATTGAATAGAGGGGGAGGGGCTTGAGTTTAGGAAGGAAACTGTATTAGGAAGGTTTGGGTATTAAAGCGCATGAGGGAATTAGGGATGTTTTATGTTTTGATTGATTGAAATAAGGGTTTCTTGGAGGATTTGGCTCTAGACAATCTTGTTTAGAGATTTTGGAGAGACGATCCTCCTCTCGAATTGAGGATCTCTTGTATCTTGCTATTTTATTCATCGTATAGTGGAATCTAAGTGTGTTTTGAGTTTTTTCCTACAGTTTTCCTCTAAATTCTCCACTGTTTTGGCTGTTTAACTACTGTGGACAACAGTTTTCTTGTTGTGGTACTTTATTTTGGTTAGATTTGCTTGTGAATACAAGTATTTCCTATCATCCATCACAGATTCACAATTAATCTACTTTAACATGAAGTTAAATTTAAACATGTCAACATAACCATAACTATAAACCTCCAAATTTAGTCATGGATTAGATTCCACCTAAATTATCCAAATCAGATAAAATTGTCCAATAACACACTTTAAATGATATTTTTATTCAAATAAACTGTATAGTTCATCAGTAAATTAAAATAGATAAACTTATACAATACTTTCATTCAATCAACCCTTGGGATTCTTATGATGGATGATTAAAAAATTCTCCATAAAAATATTTGATGCACAATGCTCATCTCAAACTATCTCACAATTAAAATAAAGGAATTTCTTCTTCAAAAACTAGGGTTATATGCCATTAAGGAGATGAAGCTTAGTTAGGGCTTCCTTTAGAGAATCAATTATAGTATCAGATAAAAGAGATTAGGTTAGGCTCAATGGCTAATCTTTCTTGAACAATTGAAAGGAAGAATATGATATTTGGATCTTTTATCAAGGTCATTGCCCTCTACTCTTGGTTGATTCTCTCGAACTTGTGGATCCCAATAGTGGTCGATTCTCTCAAAGTCGTTCCTTGTGGATCGCAACAACAGCTTTGTGGATCCCAATAGCAGCATCTTCTTCATCGTGGTGTAGAATTGTAAATGCTGTCCCCTCTACCTAAATCTCTCTCCCTCTCTCTCTCTCTCTCTCGCTCTTGATCTCACTATCATTTCTGTCTAGCTTGCTTGCTTGGTCTTTGACTTTTTGCGCCTCTCCCTTGTTTACTATGTCTCTCTCTCTCTCTCTCTCTCTCTTGTTATCAAATTGATATATATTAAGACTTGTGACTGCCTTATGAGTAGTGGTGGGAGCAATATGTCGGTCCAATTTGGTTGAAACAATCTGGTTCAAGAAGTTATATATATATATCCTGTTGTTATTGATGTATTCAGGGAGCTGTCTGACGTGGATTTGCGGATTATCAGTCCAACATTTGGAGATCTGCTCAACCTTAAAAAACTGTATGCCCTTTTACAATATTTAATGATATGAATTTGGTTGTTCAGATAATTTTGTTGGCTAATTGATTTGTTTCCAGAGATTTACACAATACATCACTTGCTGGGGAGATCATGAACTTGGGCAGTCTACAAGAACTCGAAGTATTGTAAGCTCATTTTCTTAAATCTTTGAGTCAGTCTTCCAGCCCTTTTTTTTTATTACTACATTTTATATTTCATTGCTGCTACATGTTTTTGGTATTCTGATATCCATGTATATTGAAAACAAATTGCAGGAATCTTAGCTTCAATATGTTAACTTCATTTGGATCTGAATTTGGCACCATGGTCAGCCTTAAAATTTTGTATGTTCCCATTTTCATTTTTTTTATAAGCTCTTGAGATGAAACTGTCTATTCTGCAGGACAAAACTAAATAGTTTACGGATCACATTGTTTTTCCTGTCTCACTGTCACAGAATTTTCAAAATGAACAAACTACAAGTGAATCATTTAAACAAATTTGATGTGCTTTTTTATACTAGTAGCGTGCACAAAGTGCATGTTGCAAGGATTTTAAAAAACAATATCATTATAAAATCTTAAATTTTATGAGTATTATAATACAATTATTTTTAAAATTTTATTAATATTGAATAAGCTATCTATTCACATAAATTATATTAAACTATAAGGCAAAATGTACCCATCATATGGATGAAAAACAACATAGAAATTAATGATATATATTAGGCTTAGATTTGTCCATTTATTCGATAAAATCCACCTTCCCTCTAATGTCAATATAATGAATGGAGATAATGTAATCATGTCATAGAAGAAGCAAACAAAGGGTATATTTAATCTCATCAAAATTTTCAATGATGAGCAATAAAGTGAAATATCTAGGAAGGGCCGAAGGAACGGAACAGAGCAGTCTGGACTGCTTGACGATCAATCTTCAGTAGAGATGAATGCCGCTTTCTCCTCTTTGCTTCCTTTTTATATCCCCTCACGAAGATCTGGGAACAGTAATAATAATGAAGGCCGACCAGGATTCTGATACCATGTTGAATTTAGAAATTTGGAGAAGAAAAATGCTTACCTTAATTGCACAAATCTATCCCTTTTTACATATACAAAATTTCTAATAAATAAATAAATTAATTAAAGAATCATTCATAAGTGCCCTAATATAATCCTTCCTAATTCAGCCACCTAATTATGGAAAGGGATCAGCGTGATCTAGGTGAGCCTCCCACAGATCCTCATCATAGATATGGGATCAACTGCTAAGGGATGGCTGAAATTTAACAATATTAACAAAATTTGGAGTGATGTGTTACTCCTTTGTCTTTATCCTGCAATATCAGCACTTTAATAATTTTTTAATATAATTAACTTGGATTTTTCATAAAGCTACATGTCTGATTTTTTTTTTTTTTCAAATTATTTCTGAATATTTTGTGGTTTTACCTTATGAATTTCTCTGGGTTCCAACTGCATGTCACGAAAGTAAATTATCTGGTAACTATCTGATGCTGTTAGAAGCTTAGCAATAAGCTCTATATGACACATACTTGGCCCGTGCAATTGTGATTTAAATTGTATAATGAAAGTCATCTTTTCATTTTTATGAGTATGATATACTCTGTCTAAATCTGTCTTTTCTCCTAATTTGTATCGTCTTTGGTAAAGTTTGTTTCTTTATTTCTTTTTTTCCTTCCTGCATTGAGCAAATCTGTTTTACATTTAGTAATGAATCAGAATCACATTTTTCTATAGATCCTCCATTGGCAAGTTAAGGCTGTGGACATCGAATTATCTTATCTCTTAACCTTGCTTTGGAGGGATCTTATGACTTTGGACATGCCCATCTTTTTCAAACTAAATTGGCCCATTTCTTTTTGACTTTGCATAGGGACTTGCAAAACAATAGTATAGAAGGGTCAATTCCTGAAAGTTTGGGAACTTTGAAGGACCTCCACTTTTTGTAAGTGAACCAAGTCCATTTAAAATGTAATACAGCCGACTCTGGTTTGTCAACTGAAGTAGCTGTATGGTTACTGTCAGGAATTTGGAAAATAATAAACTTCATGGTGTTTTACCACAATCTCTAAATAAGAAAAGTCTGGAAATCAGGTATGTTAACTATGGTCATTTGTTTCAGTTGAAAAATGTCATTTTATGTATTTACTTTTTTTTTTCTTTCCTTCAGAACTTCAGGAAATTTGTGCCTAGCGTTCTCTGTCTCATCATGCGATGGACTTAAAAATCATACTTCAATTGAAACTCCGCAGTTTACAGTCATAAGTATGAAGAGGCCTTCTGGTCGCACCCACAAAACTATCATAATTGGTGTTGTTGGATGTTTCTGTTGTGCCCTTTTGCTTATCACAATTGTTTTATTCATTTTCTGGAAGAAGAGGGGGAGAAGGAATGGATTGTTATCAAAATCATGTAAGTGTATATCTGGAATTTTAAAATCTAGTGCAGCTCGAAATCTGATTGCAGGTCTCCATTAATTAAAGGGATGACGAGGGAGATAAAGAACTGGTGTACAGCCAACATTTTCACTTACAAAGAAATTAAGGCCGCAACAAACAATTTTAAGGATATAATAGGAACTGGGGGATTTGGATCCGTATACCTTGGAAAGCTTTCTGATGGGAAACTAGTGGCTGTTAAAGTACGGCTTGATAAAACACAACTTGGAGCAGATTCATTCATCAATGAGGTATGTTTTCTACCCACGCCTCGGATTTTATCAATATTTTAACTGCATTTTGACATTAATGAAGTTGTGATGAAGAATCATTTCACATCATTTTGATTTTCTTTTGTATTGACCAAGGGGTGTAATAGATGCGTGGTTTGTTTTGCAATGTTTCTAAGTCAACTTCATTCTAAATTAATTTTGAATTTGATTTTACATCGGCTGCTTAGGTTCCTGGTGTAAGAAGCACACCTCTTATGGTGGATTTCACAAGCAAAATAATTAATTTGCATATCTTAGGCTTTGTTTGGATGATAGGAATTTGAGTAAAAGGAAATGAAAAAAGAGAGTCGAAAACTTAAATCTATGGTTTTGGATTAATAATCAGCCAAAAAAGTGTTGGGATTTCATTTCCTTTACTTTCCTTCAATTTGTACAAAGTCTTAGGGTGGTTTTTATTCCTCAAAAACACCAGATAAGGTTAAGAAACCTCTAGTTTTTCAATCTTTAAACACTAAGATGCATTTCAAGTACTTCTTGCACAGTTCGGTGTAATCTTGACCTGATTGGACAGAGCATTTTCTTTGCTTAATTGGTTGGCCTATCTTACTGTGCTCTTTTTTTTTTTTCAGTGTAAAAATTTATTTTACATGTTTAGGTCAGATTATCTTGTGTGATGGGGGCAGTGCAATTTAGTGATAGGGTGGGGATATCTTGGTCATTAACATTGTTATCATAGAAAAAAAGTAGATTGGAAATGCTGTCCTTAGGACATGCTAGATTAAGAGACATTCTATTACAATTTTATTTCCTCTTAATTGAGTATATTTGTTTATTTCTTTTTTTCTTCTTTTTGTACAGTCTTGTATGCCTATATATAGGTAGAGACTTACATTTTGTTAATAATATCGAACAGTCATCTATTCCAACATGATATCAGACCATGTTATCATTTCCCCCCTCCCCCTTTCCCTCTCTCTCTAGTTCACGTTTTTCTCCCGATCAACCCCATCGATTGCTTGCTCACTACACCCCATCTGCTCACTAGCGATGGATTGTCCTCACATGCAGCCCACTGCACTTGCCTACAATGTCAATTGCACTCTTGTTTCTTCGCAACACTCACTCGTTGCTCTCGCTCGCCACACTAGCTTCGCTCGTCAATTGCTCTATGGCCTAGCTTGCATTGGATGCTTGGTTGCTTGCCGCTTTCGTTGTGCCTGCTCACTTGTTGCGTTCGCAATGTTCTCCCTAGCATGAATATGAAGTCTTAATAACCTCATGGCTCACTCAATTTTTATGATCTATGTTGCGACTTGGATTCTCCCTTTTTTTTCTCAATTAATGTCATAGCCTCTCACTTTTAGCTCTAGGAGTCAAAACCCCTTACCATCGGTACCATCATCAAATTTATTGTTACATATTATCTGTTGTAAACTTGTAATTGAGGGCCTTTTGCTTCCCATGAAAAATTCCATTATCTGGATGCCTTTCTTCTAGAGCATCGTCAAGTTTTTCAAAATGGTAGCCGACCATGCTCTTCTTGCATGTTTGCTAAATAGTCACGAACTTCTCATTTTTGGTAACTATCAGGTTTCAGGACTATGTCAAAAAGACGTGAGTTTTTTTTTTTTTTTTGATCCACTTTTTTAGTGAAACAATATCTCCCATATTTACACTAGTCTTAAAATTGTTTCTTTAGTGAAATAATTTGTAGATCCATGAATATTATAGCACACTACAAGGAAAGTGGGATGAGTAACTTTAGTACTCTTCATTTACTACTAATCCAAATAGGGGTGTCAGATCTAATCTGAAACTAACTCGAAAAATATGAGTTCAAGTTTGATCAATTTTGGGTCAAATATGAACCCGACTCTCTAAGTCGAATTGACACACCAAAATCTCCAGCCTCCTTTATTTTTTGCATGGCGTGCAATCTCTGTTGATTTACAACTCCATTTAATATTTTTGATTATCCTCCCCTATGTTGTTTGTGCCATAGAACTCTCCACTCTACATCCTTTTACTTTCAATAATCAACTTTAGTTGTTGGTTCTACTGTTGGTCAGTGGAAGGTTTGTGATGCCCTGGACCTCAATCCATATTTCAAACTTACCTCAGGAATTTCTAGGAGCGATGTGGGGGGTTATTCAGGCGTGCAGAAGACATACAGAAGGTTAGCCACAGAGTTGTACTAGAAGGGGATGCATAGAGATGTAGAGGAGATGGTGGCCAGGTGTGAGGTTTGTTAGAGGAACAAATACATTGCTATGTCACCAGAAGGACTACTACAGCCGTTGGCTTTACCTTTATAGATGGTCCGCCCTGTTCGGAAGGTTTCACTGTGATTATGATGGTGGTGGACAGATTGAGAAAGTATGCTTATTTCATTCCCTTCCGACATCCATACACCGCGGTGACAATGGCTTCAGCTTTCATCAGAGAGGTGGTCAGATTGCATTGAATAGTAGATGCGATAGTAACAGATAATGACTATGTTCCTCAGCCATTTTGGAGAAAGTTGTTCAGATTACAGGGGATAGCTCTGAAGAGGAGCATCACCTACCACGCACAGACAGATGACCAAACAGAAGTGGTCAACAGGAGCGTGGAGACCTACCTGAGATGCTTTGTGTCGGAGACACCCAAGCTATGGTCCAAGTGGCTATCATGGGCCGAGTACTGGTACAACACCTCTTCTCATTCCGCTTCTCAGATGACCCCATTCAAGGTGTTGTACGAAAGGGATCCTCCTCACTTGGTGCACTTTGGGAGTAGCAGTACTCCAGTTTCTTCAATGGAGTACATAGGGGAGAGGGATAGAGTGTTAGAGGAGTTGAAGAGACATCTACTGAGAGCTCAACAGATTATGAATTTTGCACACTTTTCATTGTATTCATACCATACATTGTGTGGCTTCTAGGGAGAGTCCTAGCATTAACACAATATATGAAGATATTTATGTCATGGTTATTCGATAAATTTTACACTAACTGTTAACTACCTAATACAACCCTCCATTTTTCTCATTCAGGATTTGAGTTTAGATTATCACTAACTGAATTTTTTCCTATTGAATAGTTACACATTAATTGTTTTTGTCAAAAATAAAAATCATATATTTCTTACTCTTTCAAATTTGTACAGAAAAGAGGAAATATTAAGTCACTTATATTAGGGGTGTCAATATTAGACACGTCACGAAAACCCGTCTCGAACCCGACACAAAAATTTCAGGTTCGGGTCAACCCGAACCCGAACCGAGTCGGGTTCGGGTTTACCCGAAATCAACCCGTTTTGATCCAGTAAGGCATGCCATCACGTCAGGCCTTCTGGTCAGCCGTCCATGTCAATGAGTCGGGTCTGCGTCTAGTCGCCAGGCCAGCAGGCCTTCACGTGAGTCCGCGTCAAGTCGCCAGCCTGGCCCAGGCGCCCATCCAGGCCATCTGCGCCACTTCCCCGGCGAGGAGCTCACTTCTGTTGCCCGGCAGACCGCAAATTGCAGTGGAATCCGAGCTCGCGTCCGCTACCGGCCCGCCGTTGCCATCACCGACGCTGCATCGCCTCGCCATCCCGCTTCCAACACTCCAAACCTTTTGGCTCTGGCAGTCCGGCAGACCACAAACCGAATTCCCACAAACCGCGTCTAACCCTCTGGCAGATCGCAAACCGTGTTAGGTCGGGTTGACTTGAACCCGATGCGGGTCCGGTTCGGGACCTAAAAATCGACCCGTTTTTACAAACTGGTCGGGTTTGGGTTGACCCGAATAGTGCCGGATCAGTTCCGGGTTCGAGCTGAACCCGACCCGTGACCCAAAATTGACACCCCTAACTTATACTTCTCCTTTCGTCGTAAATCCACTCACAAACTCATTTTTCTTCTTCCTCTTGCCGAGCATAGATCCTTCAACAATTCTCAACAGTAAACAAACCTGATATATATGGTCAATAAATCATTAATTGATACTTAAGATATATATTGCTATTTAGGTATGTATTGATTAATTAAAATATTTATTTTAAGAAGGTTATATATCAATAAAGAATTATGATAAAAGTCGAATTTAATAGAATCCATTTAACTAATCAGTATCACAATGTTCTACCAGGAAGTTATAACTCTTACAATACTCTGGATTACAATCTTAGTGGTGATTTTAGTGAACATTTTTTTATTCGACTCGATAACACATCTCAATATATGGTAACAAAGCACAACACAACAGACAGCAATATTGCCAAACAGCACCATAGTTTCCTAGTTACCTTGAGCAATTTTTTTATTATGGTTCTACAGGTTCATGTTTTATCGCGAATTCGACATCAAAATCTTGTGTCCTTGGAAGGATTTTGCTACGAATCTAAGCAGCAGATTCTTGTGTATGAGTACCTTCCAAGTGGATCTTTGGCTGATAATCTCTATGGTATGCTCTTAGATCATGCATTTTTGTGTTACAGTGCAAGAAATAAATATTTACCCGTAGGATTTCTATGGATTATTTTTCAGGTTCAAACAGTAAAAATGCAACACTCAATTGGGCCCGTAGATTGAAGATTGCCATAGATGCGGCCAAAGGTACTATCTTTACCTAACTTCTAGCTAATTGTCCACATTGTTAAATTCAATACGTATGACTGCATGTTATAAGTGACGAGATGAACTTTAGATCCATGCTATGAAATTATTTCAGGTATACATTAAATGGTTTCAACCATTATAATAAGCAATTTTTATGTGGCGAAACAGCAACATGTGTTAATGAAGCTATGCCAAAAATTAGATTAAAGTTGCAAAGTTTTATGTACCACTTGTAATATTGGAAGAATGTTATATTGAAAGATGTGTTTTATTATCCTTATAATTGAGGTTATTATTCTCTATTATTTATGTCCTTTGACCCATCATATTCGGTTAATAATACACACAAATTCCTCTTATTTATTATTCTCTCGAGAGGTAAAAGGTAACATCCTGGTCATCCAATTCACTTATTGATCATTTATTCACTCGTTTCATGCCTTTGATTTATCTGTCAGCAATATTTTTTCCTAGGACATAAAAGTAATCATTGTAAATTTTTTTTATAGAAACAGACTATAAATATTGAAATGGATGCTCTTCTCAGTTGTCATATCTGGGATTTAGTTGTTCATCCTCTTGTGGGTAAACCAATTGTTTATTGGTGGGTCTTCATTGTCAAATTTCATCCTGATTGATCAATTATTTGCTGAGAAGTACAATTGGTTGCCTAAAGAGTTCATCTAGCTCCATGGATAGAATATTTTGACACATCCTCTCCAGCTGCATGACTAAATTTTGTTAGAATTTTCTTGCCTGTGGCCATCAATCAAGGTTGAACTTTGCTTCAAATAGATATAAACAAGGCCTTATATTTCTCTGACTTGCAAGATGATATGGAGGAAGCTCCCAATTATTTTTATATAGAAAATGTTTATCTACTCAAGAATATTATTTATTGCCTTGAATAGTCATTGAGATTAGTTTGATAATTTGTGCAAAGTCTTGGTTGAGATTTGTCTCAAAACAATACTATTGATCACTCTATCTTTATTAAGTTTGTTTATGCTGGCTCCATCATATTAGTTGTTTATGATGACAAAATCTTACTCACTGGAAGTGATCATCATACATCTTAAGGTGAAGCTCCACTTGCAAATTAGTTTGCCTATAATAAAATTGTGGGTATCCCTTACCCAAATGAAGTATGTTACTAATCTTCTCGAAGAATTGTGTTTTATTGGTTGTATGCCCATTGATACGTTTATGGAGATTAAGACACATTTGATGATGAAAAGCCTCTTGATGATTTATCTTAATATCAAATATTTGTTGGTAAGCTGATTTAAATGATTGTCACCAGGCATGAAATCTCATGTGTCATTGTAATGCTTATCCAACACATGCAAAATTCACAAAAGAAGTATTGAGAAGCTGTTATGGATCTTCTGATGTATCTTAAGGTCTCCACAAAAAGGATTGCTATATGCTAAATCTGAGCATATGAATATTGAAACATTATTTGCTGAAGATAGGAAGCCAATATTAGGATATTACGTTTTTATTGGTGAAAAACTAATCACTTGGATAAATAAGAAATAGATTGTTGTAGCTAGATCGAGTGTTGAAGCTAAATACAAAGCTATTGTTCATGCTGCATGTGAAATGTTGGGGTTAAAACTCTTTTACTAGAGTTTGATTTTTGTATTCTCTTTGATTATAAAGTGACAATTAAACCCCATCTACATTGACAACAATCTTATTTTTCATGGGGTGAATTAGACATTGAAATAGATTATTATTTTCCAAAAAAATTGTTGTTCATCACATCTCATATTCAGGGCAAATGGGGGATATCTTTACCAAATCTCTAGGATACCTTTTTCTTGTTTATATGGCAAGCTAAATGTAATAAATATTCATGCTCTAACTTGAGGGTGAATGTATACATATGTAATAATATTGACTTATTAGGTACCTAATATTGAAAAGAGATTATATTAATAAGATATGTTTTAATATTTTTTTAATAGGGAGCATTATTCCCTTTTATTTGTTTTCTTATTGTATTATCTTGTATGACTCTTTATAGGTTCAATATATTTAGTCATGACACAAGAATAAACAAAAACCCTCTTTATTCTCATCAACCTTTTTTTTTTTACTTTAGTTATAGAAATTGATCTTTTTTAGCTGACATTAGCAATTTTAATATTAAGAGAAAAAACCTTGACATGTACAAAGTTTATGATTTACATCTGAGTTGAATTCATGATTCTTGTCCTTCTTGATGCTTTGGAATTTGGAATGTAGAAGAGCATTGACAAACAGGTTGTATAAAGCTAAATTGATTTGTAAATTATGTATAATTAACAACATACCCAATGTTGTGAACTTTTTGAACAAAATATGTATTTGCTATAAACTCAATAGCAAAATTTATTATTTTTTGTATGCTCAGAGATTTTTTCTTTTTCCTAGATAATATATTTGATTGAATATAATTTATTTTATTCTGGGGTATAACTTCCTCATAAGAATAAGCTCTTATGATTAGTTATATCTAAGGATATTTATCCGTTTAGAATTTTTTTTTATTAAAATAGTGATTTACATTTGTTTATCAAGACATTGTTTAACATTTTATATGATTTTTAAGAAATTAATTTTAAAGATTTTTCTTTACAATTTCAAGGATAATTGGAATTTGGATCAACATAGAATTAAATTTTGAATGAAAGTGAAAGAAGAAAATAATGAATGCTTAATTTTGAGAAATTCAGAGATACCAAATACTGTTCTATGTTAAATTTACATTTTGAAAATAAATTTATGTTAAAATTGATCCATTTATTTTCATAAATTAGGGCATCTATTCCAACAACACAAGTTCAAAGAAATGCTCAGGATCTAACCTATTTTATCGATTAAAGTTAGGGCTTCTATTCCAGCAACATAAGATTAAAATTGAATTGTCCGATCGTTTATCCATGAAAGTTTTCCAAGACAATTGATTTTATGAGCTTCTTTTCTTCCACATCTAACTTATTTTAAAGGATTGGAGCATTTACACAATGGAAGCAATCCACGGATCATTCACCGAGATATAAAGTGTAGCAACATTCTTTTAGATCTGGATATGAATGCAAAGGTTGCTGACTTTGGCCTATCAAGGCAAATTCCTCAACCTGAAATAACTCATATAACCACTGCCATCAAGGGAACCGCGGGATATCTTGACCCTGAGTAAGAATCCAATTTCATTTTGCTTCTTTTTGTCTTAAATTTTAAAACCTCTGCTATAATAATCTTATGCTCGGCTCATAAACCTTTGTTAAAGTTTTCTCGCTCTTACTTTTTTAATGTAGGTATTATGCCACTCAACAGCTAACTGAGAAAAGTGATGTCTACAGCTTTGGAGTTGTATTATTGGAGTTGATTTGTGGACGTGAACCCTTGAGTCATGCTGGTGCTCCTGATACTTACAATTTGGTGCTATGGGTACTCCCTACTTTGAGCTTTTCTATATTAGAAGATTCATTATATTGAAATTTATATTAGCCCTTCTAGAATCCTCTAAACTTCACCTTCACAGACTTGGTGGATCATCCTCTTCACCCATAATTGGATTTTTGTGTTGGTGATGTAAGTTTGCTTTTTAATAATTCATCAACATAATTAAAAGTTCTTATGAGTGAATTTTGGTTTCAAGTAGAGAAGAGAAATAAAAAAAGACATTAAAAGAAAAAAAGGAAAGTCGATCAAAATCTCTGCTTTTACCAAGCTTTCGTAGTGTTGTATCAAATTATGCAAATCTTGGCAAGAGAAATTTGTTACAAATCTCCTTGTCTTTTCCTTTGTTTCTTTTATTCTTTACTTGAAACTAAGATTTGTGTGCAACATCCTTTTTCTATGTTGGCCGAGACAATCATGTAATAGAGCAAGTCAATGGCATAACAGGCCATTTCAGAAGGGTGAAGGAAGAGTGGTTGGCCAAGCTTTTCTTGGTGGGTTTAGTGCGTGATTAGAGAAGGAGATTGAGGGGAAAAAATATATTCAATAAAGAAGCAAAAGCATGAGAAAAAATAACGATCAAAAGGTTACTTTGCATGAAGCAAATCACATACTAAGATGACTAGCACAATGATGAGACCTTTGCCTTTAAACATTCTTGCAATCTACCTGCATTGTGTTCTTCAACCTCCATGGGAGCAGTTGATGAGAATAAAGAAGGGGGAGGCATGAGAGAGAAGGGAAGTATAGGCTAGGTTTTTAGTGTAGTGGAGCTGTTAGGTAGTATGATATATTGCCATGAACATCAACTGTGGAGGGAAATTTGCTATCAAATTGGTAAGAATAAAAAATGCACTGCAAAGAAGTAGAGTTCGAAGCTAGCTTTTCAAGGCCACCAAGAGCATCCAAACCAAGAGCATCCAAGTCAATGTTGAAATGAAAGCGCATTTGTGTATACCTCGTGCTTCAAAGAATCTTCTTATTGACTGACATTGTAGCTCTTTAAACACCTCGATTGTTGTTTGGTTGCCACCGTTTTTTGTGTACCTCGTGCTTCAAAGAATCTTCTTATTGACTGACATTTTGGATGTTGCATGTTGGACCCAACAGGTTTCTAATATGAACATTTATTCCGAAGCCTGCATTATTTGAAAACGCAGGGAATATCCATGTCAACCTTTCCGTGCAGCTTATTTCTAAAGCCTTTTGTCCAAATTTGGTAATCTAACAAGAACTGAAAAACATATTAAGATTGTCAAAATCTTATTTGTTGAATCATCCGTGTATCAATTGCTCCATAAGCTGAGCATCTTGGAATCATTTTAACTGATCTAACTAGGCTTGTTTTTAGTTTTCCCCATATAATTTTGTTCACTTGTTCAATATCTCCTTTTTTTAACATGATTATAGCATCTGCTTATTGCTATTGATGTGCAGGCAAAGCCTTATCTGCAAGCAGGCGCATTGGAGATTGTTGATGAAAACTTGAAGGGTGGTTTTGACGTGGAAAGCATGAAAAAGGTGGCTTCAATTGCCGTAAAATGTGTGGAGAGAGAAGCGGCACACAGACCAACAATGTCTGAGGTTCTAATTGAGTTGAAAGAGGCCTACAGTATTCAGCTCACCTTCCTTTCAGCTGGAGGACTCTACTGAACTCTTCTTGGATCTTGCAGCGCTTTTAGTTTAACGAGACTTCGACTTCGTTTGGAATGGCTTTCTTACTGCTTCTTAAATTAGCATTCTAATATAAAAATTTTAATTTTTGTACTAAAAAATTGCTTTTAGGAGCATTAAGAAAATCGTCTCAAACGAAGCCTTCATCATTGAAAGGTTTTACATGCTTGACGGTGGAAAACAATATTAAAAATATTGTAAAATTAGGGTTTGCAATCTCTTTACCTTTCTTTTCCATTACCTTGTGGAGGTACTCTTTTTCATCCTATAACTTCAAATTTTTGACATTCCTCTCAGTTATTCATTCGGGGCAAGTAGGTTTCAAAAAATGGAGCAAGTCTCTGAATTATTGAATGCTACTTAGCGGTGTAAATGAGTCAAGCCGTGTGTGAGTGTGGAGTCAAGCCTTATGTCAATCAATGACTAATGATCTAATCTCATTAAGCCAGAGTTGATTTGGAGCTAATCTTATCGATCTATTTATTTAAAAATGTTAAATTTCTACTTCATTTCCACATTTTATGGCTCCATTGTAGCTCTTTAGCATTCACTTTCGGATATTAAATTCATATGTGGAGAGATAAAATCCTTAAAAAAATCATAAATGTATTAGAGAATCATCTACATCATTGGGGACTTCTTTTTTTTTTCGTATTACTATGATATTGTTGAAGCTGCAATCACATATTTCAAAAAAGATTTTTAACTCAACTAAGCCTAACTCTAGTATTGTTCTTCAAGTTAAGTTGGCAAGTGATATGATACCTTCACATCTCATCTCTATGCTTATTGCTGTTGAAATAAAAAAAAAAATGATTGTTTTTTTTCTTCTTATAGGTTCCTTTTGATTTTTGCCAAATGTTGGAAGATGATTGATGAGTATATTTGCAAGCCTATTAAACATTTTTTTTGGCTGAAAAGTTATCTTCCTAGAAAAATCAAAGCAAAACCCTCATTTCTAAATCTTACCATGGTAGCAATATATCTGATTACTTTCCATTATCTTTATGCAACATATTTTATAAAATCATTTTTAAAATCATAATCTCAAGACTCAACTACATCATGCCTCATATTATACTTCCAAGTTAAGTTGGCTTCCTTCATAGTAGAATCTCTAGTGATAACATAATCTTGGTCAAAGAGTGTCTTCTATGCTAAATTAGATTTATTCAAAACTTCTGATACAATATAAGATATTATCTTATTAAGAGACTTCAACAAAAAAGGTTTCCTTGATATTTTTATTTGCTAGATCAAATCATGTATGGAAATATTTATTATTCTATTAGTATTAATAGTAATCTTGTATGTTTTTTCAGCTCATCCACTTTGTTAAGGCAAGGAAGTTCTCTTTCTTCTTGCTTATTATGTATTGGAATGGATAATCTCTCAATCTCTTTGACAATGCCATCATATGCAATCTTATTCTACTAGTAACATGAGAAATCCTCATTTTTTCTCATTTGTTGTATATTTTTGGTACAACTAATATTCAGAACATTCAAACAACATCATTAAACTTTTCAAACACCTCTCAAGTCTAACTATTAATCCTACTAAAAGTTCCATTATTTTCTTTAACTTCACTCCAAAACAAAATGAATTTTGTCAGATCTTGAACTAACCTACAACTAAAAATTCTCACTTAGGCACCCCAATATCTATCAATAGATTACTCATTTCAAATTTTCTTCTTTTATTGAGCAAATTAACTCTTCCCCCAGATGGTTGGGAAGCAAAAACTCTTTTGTTGGGCTGCTTTAGGTTTTGAGATTCTCCATATGAAATATGATAGCATATTGGATAAGGTGGGTAATTCTACCCAAAAAGTTGTATCAAAATACTCAAGTGAGCTCCAAAAATTTGGCCCCAGCTTCCCCCACTGCTTTTCAGGGGAGTTTTAAAGGATTTAAGTTCTGAGGTAATTTTGGGAAGGTAAATGGATTTGTAGATAAGACACAACCCAGATATTTCACCCTCATTTCACGAGGACTTTATAATCTGAGTTCTGGTTTCCTATAAGCGAAAGCCCCTACAGTTAATTACCCCTCCCGATAACGAGAACTTTCGATTAAAGCTAGTCGTCAATCAGATATGTAGAGATACGTGTTATCTAACGTATAGTAGCAACATGGGTTGGGTATTTGAAGGGTTGATATTTAAAATTGAAAAGTTCACCATCTTGCACTTTAAGCGGATGGTGGGGGAATTGATGATGGACCCGATCAAGATCCCATGTTTCCATCGTCCTGGGCCATCATGGTCCATTGTCTACTTAGTCAGAGGAGATAGTTAATCCAGCCTGACAGAAGGATATTTGTCAGCAGCCATAAGTTGCTTCGTCCAAGGATACCATTTGTAGACCTATGGTGGATATTTATCTAAGGGGATAAATTTGAATCCACCTTAGCTAACAGAGAGCTTTATGCCCTATCAATTATATCCTATTGATTCATATCTCAATAATTTGATGTCATTGTGAAGCATACAAGCTCCGACCATAACCATAATGTAGTGGTGCAATTTGGCAGCAAATAGCCTGCTTCAAAGGGCTCCGGTCATAACCGTTTACATGCGCTGCCATTTGGCAGAAAAAACTACCGGTTAGAGGACACATGCCACATCTTTACTGGCAGAAAATTATTTGAGAATAAATCATAGTGATATTCTCGACCATACATTATCTTTTTGTGAGCTAATTTATTTTTAGATTTGTTTACCTAGGAAAACTGTTGCAGAGGGTGAATGAGTTTTGCTTTAAGTGTTTTGATGAATGGTTTCAATTTTCAAATATTTCAAATTTAAGATTTTCTGGAGTTTTGGGTTTCATGGATATATGGGTGAAATTTTGAATGTTTGGAATTGACTCTTCCAGTTGAGATTTGCGTTCAACACGGCCATCATCGGGGGTGTAAAAAATATTTAGATGTTATGAGAATTTGGTCTTTATGAGAGTTTGGAGGCACTTGAAATGGCTGAAGTTAACCCCTCCGATTGAGATCTATGTTCAACACGGTCATCATCGGGGTATTTTGGATTATTTCTATTTGTAGATTGAATCTTATCGACTTTGACGAGCTGTCGACAAAGGATCAGGTTTCGTAGGTTGTATGCATTTGTTGATGAATTTCTTTTGTTATCGATTTTGAAGGCCTCATATGAACGTATAAAATAAATATTCCGGTCGACGCCTTGACCGTATATCTATTTGATAATTGGAGCTGTGTCGACTCCTATATATCTATATAGAAGGACCGGACTCAAATTATGGTTCATTTATTGACCCGCGCAGTATCTCTAAACATCACATGTACCTGTAACACGCTTGCTAGGGCCCATGATAGTAGTGTGATTGCACGTGTCATTTGTGTACATATGTACAAACATATTACAGTGCATGTGCAGGGACATTTTGAGAAATATTTAACGATGGTTAGTTGTACGGGCATCTGTCATTTAAATACAAGGTTCTATTTGGAAACTCATACATGCCTTCTGTCCGCTTGTATGCATGTCACAGATCCGATGGCTTGGCGTTGTACTGTGGTCATTTGTTCATTGCATACAGATAGATTATCGTGCACTACTTATCGCTTCCTACAGATGGACTGTAATGCACTAACAAATCTCCTGCCATAGGTTGTAGATGCTTGCACTTGTTGTAGTAATTTGGTATTTTGCTTGCGAATGACATCTTGAGCATGTAGCGAGTTTCCTACAAGAGTCTGTGGGAACTTGTATTTGTCGCATTCTTTATGCATTTTCCTGTGATCTTTGTTCCATGCAACGTGGGAATTATTTTGTGTGCTTTATCGAGGAGGTTGGAATTAGGTTTAGGGTTAGGGCTAAAAGCGAACCAAGCGTTCGACGAGCTACTCGTTGTTCGTTTCAATTAAAGCTCGTTTGTGATCATTTAATTAACTAAACAAACAAGCTTGAACAATATTTTAAATACTTGATTCTTAAATAAACAAACTTGAACATTAATGTGTTTGACTCATTTATGTTCGCGAACAACATCATTTGAAGCTTGTGAACAAGCTCGACATTAAGCTCGATATGAAGCTCGATTTTTAACTCGTGAATAAGCTCAATAAAAATAATTAATATTTGATTATAGAATTAATAAATATAAATATTTAATATTTATTATAATATAATGATATAATTATTTTTACATAATAAATTTTAAAGTAAATAAATATTATAATATATGTTTAGGGTTTATGGCTCAATAAAGCTCGTTTGCTCGATGTAATCGTTTGTTAGGAAGCTTGATAAAGCTCGTTTGTTAAGTTAATGAACATCTAAAAATAGAGCTCGTTTATAACTCGTTCATGTCTGTTTGTTTAAAACTTGATAAACACTAAACGAACCGAACATGAACTAAATGTTAACCGAACATGAACATTCATTAATTTAAATGAACCAAACATGAACACAAACAATAAAGCTCGAACAAACATAAACCAAACTTGAACAAGCTAATATTAAATGAACACAAACATGAAGACTCACATACTCAGCTCGGTTCATTTGCAGCCATAGTTAGGGTGATCTTGATTGTTTGCTGAAATTCAGGTTTTCCTTAATATTCTTGGGCTCTAGCCACGTCTAGAGAATTGGGAGAGAAAAAACCCCCTCATGAATAGAGTTTCAATTGTATTTTATTATTTTATTCCTGTTCCTCATTAATTCCTACCATCTATTTGATGTTTTCCCTGTGTTTGATTCGAGATTTGTGGTGAAGTCTCATTGAAATTCAAATTTCAACGAGATCTACAAGGGTTTCCTATCACATAGATCCCTTACTTGGCCTTCAGGCAATCGGTGATGTCCTTGTCACAATCATAATACACTTAATTTCATAAGAGTTGGGTAATTTTTTACCATTATAAGCCAACATTTTTAATTTTTCAGATGTAGCTTCAATTGTTTTTTCTTTTATACCTTGCTTCTTTGAGCCCAGCTGTTTGTTACAGCTCATGAATTTTCGTATAATCTGTTTGTGATATATATCTGAGACTATTTCACTTGTAATTAAGCCCTCTAGTGAATGAATGAGCCTCATCCTCAATTTTTCCAGAAAAAATACTCAACTGTAAAATAGTTAACAGAAGATAACAAGCTCAAATGCACTGTTATGCGTAAGTCTCAGTTTAGGATGCCCAATTATACCATCTAGCTATCCCTGAAAATGGACTGAGCTACCCTATTGTGCCCCCCCGAAAAAAATGAGGAGAGATGATCATAAACCCAATAAGGGAAATTTACATACATACCACTTTATTTCATGCTATTTAAATATCTAACACCAAAAACATTAATACTACATGTCTACCACCTATATATAACTTTAATATCAAATATATCACTCATATAATTCATTTCTATCATTCATACCATCCTATAAACTTTAATATTCCATTCCATGCACCTAAATTTGTTCTATGAGTGATAGGCATGTAATATTAATATTTCAGGGGTTAGATATGTAAACATTTGGTTCACACTGAACTCATCCATGCTTGTTCATCATGAAGACTAGCACCAAAGCTCAATTGACCATTGAAAAGCATAGTGGGTGGCCTTTTATTCAACGCCACCTTTGAACCAAACACTGATACTCCACTAGGGTTACCGTTGGGAGTCAAGCAGCTCTCTATAGAACATTCATTCATCTGTTGAACTCGGTTCCCAGATTTCCCTTCCGGGGATGCTCCTGTTATTTCAGATAGGAAAGGAAGATGGAGAGGTTCAATTGAGAAGCCCAAGCATCCTTTGGTTTCCCTGTTTGCAAATTCTGGGGATTTTTGTTTGCTTGATTCAATCTCATTTGTTCTAAGATTTTGATCCACAAGAGCATTGCATGCTCTTTCCAGAATAGTTTCAAGGTACTTACCCTGCGCTTCTATTCGTAGTTGAAGGCTCCGCTGTACCTGGAGGGACAAAAATGATTAGGTGAAATTAAGGTTTCGTTTGGGACGAATTTCTTGCTGCTTTTTAAAGCAACGTTTTAGTACAAAAAATTAAAAAACTGCTTTAAGCAGCAGCAAGAAAGCCATCCCAAACGAAGCCTATCTCTACAATCAACATGTTCTAATTCGAGCAAGTTTCAAAGCAATTATTAAGATGCAACGATCGAGAAGCTTTCTTTTGGAGAGTTTGCGTGCATATCATATAATTTTCATGTATTTATACATCAAATA